CCCCCGGGCCGCCCCCAGCCCCTCAGCGGCTCCTCGCCCCGCCACCGGGCACGACCCCGGCGCCCTCTGCCCCTTCTCCCCGCGCAGCCCCGCCCCTCCCTCCGCACCCCCTCCACCCACTGGCTCGGCGGCGTACTTGACTGACTGCCCCTTCTCTCTCAGCCCGGATTTTCTGGGATTGGGATCTGCGGGCCGAGCTCCCCGCAGAGTCCGCCCGGTGCCCGCCCCGCCTTAAAAAGTATAAATAAATGCCGGACACAGAAGGACAAAAGCTGTACGAGTCCACGCTGTGCGAGGTGTCCAGAGCCGTCAGATCCAAACAGAACCAGAACGGTGGTTACGGAGGGGGCGTTATTGTTTAGCTGGTACAGAGCTCGTGACGGTTTTCTCCTGGACCACACTTTAGTCGGGCTCCTTTGAATCCTCTTCCAACTAGGCCTCCACTTGCGTCGCCCAGTTTTAGCGAGAATCCTGTTACTCGTTTTAGCCATAAACTCCCCCCACCCCACCCCGCCCTCTTATCTGACCAAATGCCTCCCTCCCCCGTCCCCAGGTGACGTCCCATCCCTCACCTGCCAGCCTGCAGCAAGAATCCTATACAAGAATTACCCAACCCTCTTAGTAATTTTCCATGCCCCCCAGTCCGGCTCCTTGGCTAAAAGTCCCCACTTGTCCACGCTGTATTTGGAACTGACCCCTGTTGTATACTGACCTCTCTTTTCCCCCGTTGCAAAGTCCTGAATAAAATCTGCTTTTACCCCTTTAATGACTGTGCGGCTCTGGTTTTCTCTGACCTGTCAGTCTGTGATGATGACAAAGTTCTGGAGATTGGTAGTGGTGATGGTTGCACCACGATGTGAATGTACGTAATGCCACTGAACTGTACATTTAGAAGTGGTCAAAATGGTAAATTTTATGTTACGTTTTTGTTACGCCAAGAAAAAAAAAGCTCAACTGTTTTTAAAAAGACCTAAACTCCCCTCTCCTCCATTTCAGGAATTTAAAATTAAGTAGAACAAAAACCCAGCGCACCTGTTAGAGTTGTCACTATCTATTGTTATGGGAATCAGTTTTCATTAAACTTGAAGCAGTCGTGACATCGGCAGTGTTTTGGTTCAGACACCTGTTCACAGAAAAGCATGATGGGAAAATATTTCCTGACTTGAGTGTTCCTTTTTAAATGTGAATTTTTATTTCTTTTTAATTATTTTAAAATATTTAAACCTTTTTCTTGATCTTAAAGATCGTGTAGATTGGGGCTGGGGAGGGATGAGAGGGGGTGAGCGAGTCTAAGGATAATGAAATAATCAGTGACTGAAACCATTTTCCCATCATCCTTTGTTCTGAACATTCTCTGTGCCCTTTCAGATACCCATCTTTTTCATTTTAAACCCCAGTCTTTCACTTGAAAGATTTTATTGTATAAAAAGTTCCACAGGTCAAAAATTTAGAGGAAGAGTATTTGGTCCAAAAAAGGAAAAATAATCAAGATTTTCGGGCTTTTATTTTTTCTTTTGTAATTGTGTAAAAAATGGAAAAAAAACACATAAAAAGCAGAATTTTAATGTGAAGACATTTTTTGCTATAATCATTAGTTTTAGAGGCATTGTTAGTTTAGCGTGTGTGCAGAGTCCATTTCCCACATCTTTCCTCAAGTATCTTCTATTTTTATCATGAATTCCCTTT